TTGTCGGGTTGCAAGAAACCCGTTTGCCTGAATCCGCGCAGCAAGCCGACCAGGATTTTCACATTTTCACCTCCGCAGCCACCCCCGCAGGCACAGGAGGTTGCGCGTTGTGGATTGCCAAGCGGCAACCGTTATACACCGACAACAACAAACCTGTCTGCATTGCCGCCAGTGACGTTACAGTCGTCAGCGCGTCTCCGCGCCATCTTGCAGTAAACCTGGCCACTCGCCGACTCCAGCTTCACGTCCAGGTCCTGCACGCACCTTCAGCAGCGTCAGTACCCATTGAGGAATGTCATGCTTTTTGGAATGAACGAGCCTGTGAGATCCTCGCCCGTCCTGAAGGCTCCGACTTCCTCATTTTGTGTGATGCTACCTCGCGACTTGGCGACTGCCATTCGGAGCTTGTTGGTGATTATGGTGCGGAGCATGAGGGCCCAGCAGGTGAGGTGTTCCATGCCTTTCTAGCAAAGATCGGGGCCGTTGCACCTTCCACCTGGGCCCAGTGGCACCAGGGAAGTACTCATACCTGGTGTTCTCCCAATGGTACTTGGTCACGCATTGACTATATCCTCGTTCCAGTGAGCTGGCGCCATGCTGCTCTTGTATCCAGCACCCTTGCACAAGTTGAGCTCCTCCAGCTCAGGGAGGATCATCTCCCGGTGCATCTCCTCTGCGCATTTACCAAGCAGCTCCCTCCTGCGTTTTACCAGACCAGCAGGAAAAGTGTGGTCAGGCCAGACTCCAAGAGTCTTTCTGACACCGAAGTTAGACTCTTTACACAGGCAGTGCCACTTGTGCCGTGGGGCGTGTCTGTCGATGAGCATTATGAGCAAGTTGTGCAGGCCTGGCAGGACTTTGACACTGCCATCGCCCGGCCTTCGGTCCAGCAACCGAAACAGCCCTATCTCACCGCTGGCACCCTCGAGCTCATACAGGATCGCAAGCTCTTGCGTCCGGCTCTCAAAGCTGAGGCCGAGGAAAGGCGGTTACGCTGGCTCATCATCTGCTTTGGTGCCTTTCTGCTTAATAGTCGGGCAGATAGTTACAACCACGCTCAACTCGGTCTTGCGGACGGCTGGTTGAAAGCTGTCGATCGTAGTGAAGCTGTTGTTGTTGCCAACTATCGCCGAACCACCTTCGAGCTTAGACGAGCAGTTGCCGCAGACAAGGCAGCTCACGTACAGGTGCTAGCGGACGACCTAGCCAGCCGCAGCATCCAGGACTCCAAGTCCCTCTACAGGGCCTTGCGCCGGGTCTTCCCTACTGCCCGGGCTGCTAGACGTTCGTCCCTACGAGCTCTACCTATGTTACAGCTTGCCGATGGCACCTTTGCCACCACCGCCCAGGAAAGAGCAGAAGCATGGCGCAGTCATTTCGCCTCTCAGGAGGCGGGCTCACTTGTCACCAAGGACGAATACATCGCAGATCTGCAGGCGTCGCACGTCACACCTTGGGTTTTGGACATGCGTTTACCTCCTACTCTCAGTAGGATTGAACAGCTGGTCTTGGCCTCCAAAAAGGACAAGGCCGCAGGACCGGACGGCATTACTGCGGAATTGCTCAAAGTTGATGCACCCGCGGCAGCGAGACAACTACTACCAGTCTACCTCAAAGCCACCCTTCGCAATTACGAACCGGTGGCATTCCGGGGAGGAGACTTGTGCTGTCTTGCCAAGCGTGCCACAGGTGCCCTCTCCTGTGAAGCGTTTCGTTCAATACTTGTCTCATCGGTACCAGGGAAGTTGCTGCATCGGAGTCTTCGAGAAATTCTCAAACCACTTCTCCTAGACTCCCAGCCCACGTTTCAGTCAGGAGTCGCGCCTGGTCAAGGCATTGAAGGGGTGGCATTGGCGGCGCGAACCTTCTTTGCTATGCACATGAATCGGCGCTCCTTTGCAGCTCTCGCTTTCTTTGATTTGCAAGCAGCCTTTTATCGAATCTTGCGGCAAACCCTCGTGCCTCAGCACACCGATGACACAAATTTGCTGCGACTCTTCCATGATCTTCAGCTGCCTCCTGAAGCTGTTCAGGAACTGCGTTCCCACCTTGAGTCCATGGCTCAGCTACCAAAGCTTGGAGCGACCTCGCACGTTGTTGCTGCTGTCCAGGATTTATTTCGGGGTACGTGGTTTAGGCTCTCAGGTTTCCCGGAGCTGACCTCCACCAAGAAGGGATCCCGGCCAGGTGACCCGACTGCAGATTTACTGTTTGGGTTCAGCTTGGCAGCAGTCTTCAAAGCCGTTCAACTACGTTTGAAGGCGGCCAACCTCCAGCCTGATGTCCCATATGGGAACCGGCCCCCATGTGTGGACCTTGATGGGCCGGTTAACATCGGACAACCGTCCTGGGCGGACGACTTCGTTGCACCCCAAACGGGTCCCAATGCTGTCGAACTGGTTCGCCGCACCGGCGACACCATTCGAGTCATTGTCGACTACACCACTTCTGTGGGTATGTCGGTCAAATGTGGGCGGGACAAAACAGCTGTCGTTTTCCCGCCTTCCGTCCTCCGTGCTGCCTCACACTTGTTCTGCCAGGACGAAGACGGCTGCACTTGCCTACCCCTTTTCAATGGGGTTACACAGGCTGAGTACCGAGTCCCTGTCGTTGAGTCATATCGGCATTTGGGAGGGATTGTAACATCCACAGGCACTCCCGTGCCGGATTTGCACTTCAGACATTCTCAGGCCTCAGGCACAGTCAAGCCCCTGCGAAAGAAGTTCTTCAGCAGTAAGGCATATCCTCTTGCCACCAGAGCATACATCCTTCGCTCCCTAGTGATCTCTAAGTTCACACACTCGGCTGCGTCGCTGATCTTAACTGTTGCCTGCCATTCCCGGGTATGGGAGCAGCACTACCTTTCGCTATGGCGCGCCTTGTTTCGCCGAAAAACTGCTTCCGAGCAGTTCCACTGCTACCGAGTCCTCTATGAGGCACAAGCTGCATCGCCCACCCTCGCTCTGGCAAGCGCCCGGGCTGGTTTTCTGGCCAGGCTGTTTTTGCATGGACCCAGAGAACTGCTCACCTTACTGTGGGATCACTGGGCATGCCAGCCTCATAATGCTTGGCTGGCTCAGCTACCAGACGACGTCGCTCTCGTCGAGACTTACATTCCGGATGTTGCCGGGATAGTTGGCAAGGATAAAGTCCTAGGGTTGTTAGAAGCCTACAGCCAGGATCGTCTTTGGTGGCCCCGACAGGTCAAGACCGCGACCAAGCGATTCCTTGCAGACCTTGAGACGTGGCAAACATGGCACAAGTCCCAGGTTCGTCGCTCGGAATCGAGCTCACAGTCCTGCGGCGAGTTCAGCTGCCACATCTGCGATGCCGCTTTTCCGCTGCGGAAACATCTGCACACACACCTCGCGCGGAGGCACATGATCTTCTCTCCTGCCCGCCACTTCGCGACGAGTGAGACATGTGCAGCATGTCTGAAGGTGTTCCCTAACATCCTTCTTACACAGCAGCATCTTAAAAGGTCTGATTCTTGCCTGCTCCGTTGTCTGCACTTGCATCCGCCGCTTACTCGCGAGCAGTTTTGCCAATTGGAGGCACCCATTATCCTCCAACGCAATAAACTTAAGCGAGGCGGTTGGCGCTCATTCAGTGGCCTGACTCCATCTGCGCGTGTTCCCGTCGCATTTGGCCCAAGGCTCCCGACAACAGAAGAAAAGCTCGTACGGACTCCCGCTGAGGACGACGAGTCCGAGCTATTTTCTGCGCTCACCAGGGGATTCCATCCCAATCCTGCGCACGTTGTATGGGTTACTGATTTCGTGCGTGGCCGCAGCAAAGAGGGGGCCAGAGCAACGGCTCACCGTTTTTGGATGCAAAGGCCACAGGTGCAGCAGACTCAGGACGTTTCACCTTCTTTGAATTCATAGCTCGAATTTTGGGACGCACCACACAGCGCCATAACACATGGCCAGTGGAACGAGAGTCCGCACAAGACAAGACAAGACATCAGACTATATCATAATATGTCATAGTTGATGATCGTCTAGTGTTGTTTATAGCCAACGTAACATCTCATTCTCCCAGGATCCAGTGGCCGGTTCTGATCCCACCGAGTGAGCCTTCTTGTTGGGGCTCAAGGTCCCTCAAGCTTGGTGGGTCTAGGCCTGAAGGAGTCCAGGGGTTGAGGGTTGTAGGGTTTAGCATCTACGGGGGCGTCTGTCAGGTTTGCGAGGTTGTAGGGGTCTTTGTTTTTTTTTGGGAGTTCTTGGGGCTTCGAGTTTGGGGTTGAGGAGCTTCCGATGTAGGGTTTATGGACAGCGTCCATCCGTAGCGAATCCGGGCAGGTACTTGCTGACCCTGGCCGCCGAGAAAGGATACACCGAAAAGTTGAATTTCATCTCCTTGGGCCAGGGACAGGCGGATTCCTCTTTAAGATAGCAACTCGCAGGTTAAACCCAGCTTCCGTTTGAATGGCTGTGGGTAAGGTTTGCAGGTGGGAGGGCGGTAGGATTCCGGGTCGAGGGCAAGCCCGGACAGCGACCAAAAAGCGCAGATGTGCAGGGACCCAAAGCCGAAGCTTTGATCAAGCTCTGTCTGGCCCCTAGCCAGGCGGTGCATCACTGCCACGTGTGTGCTTGTCTCGGTAAACGTGCCAAGCTGCAAGGATGGGAGACGGGAGACTGGGTCTGCCTCCAGAACTGCCACCTTGCAGACAGCTGGATGCCAAGGACCCGTCTCATGAGAACACTTTCGAAGCACCAGCTAGATGAGCTCAACCGGTGTTTGAAGAAGCTGCCGTCATGTGGCAGGCTGGAAGCAATCCAAGAGTCAGAAGTACCAGACAAGATCAATCCCGACTACAGGCCATTTCCATGCAGTTTGGGCGTGCGTAGGCCATTCCGCGATCCGGCTTGCATCGCCTTTTCGGGATGTCGAACTCGCTGGTCTTCTCCTGCTTCAGTCTTCTCACATTGTATGGTCGTAGCATCTGAAGAGTGCTGCTGGATTCTGGATTCTGACGGAGGCTATGGCTGACGAGCATGCCATCTCCCAAAGTCCCTCTTCCGACCTGGCAAAGTGGCATCAAGATCACGAATGAGCCTCCAAAGGGCAGCTGGCCAAGCTGATTCGGAAGTCCATCTTCAGAAACCGCTGCAATGAATGAAGAAATGACCCGTAACAGGATTGCGAGCCAACTTGGGTCGTACCTGCCAAGCCATCGGCGAGGACCTGTATGGATGCCGATCACGTGGGTTGACACATGCAAACTCGAACTGCATGAATGGGTGATCCCGAGGACGTTTTTGAAAGCTGCCCTTCCAAGCCAGCCGAGCATGGTCCTCAGCATTGCGAGAAGACATGGAAGCTCGAGAGAAGTTGCTTCAAAATGCGCAGAGTCGTGCCCGAGGTTCAAGAAGCTTCTGTTCGGGCTTGCTTTCTTCCATGGGGTCATCATGACCCCATGGAAGAAAGCAAGCCCGAACAGAAGCCGGGTCATCCTTGAACGTCGAAAGTTCCGCCCGATTGGTCCGACCCTCGGGATTTCTGAAGTACCAGACGTCCGGCCGTGCGATGGAATTCGCGGTTGAGGTTGGGACGTTCCCTATGAATGGCTGGACTCGGACTTTCAGGCATGAGGAGTGTGAGTGTCATTGGTTGGGGCATTCTGCGGCACCGACCGGCCCGACCTGCCCCTGGTCTTCGCAGGTTTCCCGAGAGCAGGTCCGCATGTGCCTGGTGTCCCAGCCGGACGTTCCATGGATCACGCTGCGGTGCGCCGTGTGTCACAGACTTCGGCATCTCTGTGCTGCGAAGCTCTTTGGGCGAAGGTACATCATTGCCCGAGCGAACTATGGAGGGCGAGGTACTGACGACGACAAGGAAGTCTCACCCTGCTCGGACTGCATCCCATGCAGCTCATCGCCCGCGAAACCCGCGAGGACGTGAGGCTCATCTCTGCAGTGCTCAAGGGCGGCTACTTCAGCGTGAAAGCCTCAGACAATCGCATCTTACATTGCAAGGTGCGTGGTGCTTTGGGCTCTGGGCGCGATGGATGTTGTAGTCGACATAATCTCTGCAAAATCCTTTGCAAATCTTGGAGCCCTAGGAGAGGATTCTGGAGAAATGCCCAACACCGAGTACACCTAATAGAGCATAGTGCCCGACTCGCCTACACCCACACACCCACACACCCACACACCCACACACCCACACACCCACACACCCACACACCCACACACCCACACACCCACACACCCACACACCCACACACCCCCACACCCACACACCCACACACCCACACACCCACACACCCACACACCCACACACCCACACACCCACACACCCACACACCCACACACACACACACCCAAACGCCCACACACCCACACACCCACACACCCACACACCCACACCCCCCGCACCTACACCCTCACCCCCAGTAGCAATGCAGTACAGTATTAGTCCAGTCGTAGTACAAAATAATACCGTGTTAGGCACAACAATAGTACACCAAGGGCCATCCGCAAGCTTGCAACGGCCACGTCAGACAAATCACCATCTTCAGCTGAACAACATGGAAGAGGTGGGAGCCTCAAGATGGCTTGGATTCCGAAAGTGTTTGGGGATCTTTCTTGATTTTTTAGCAGGGTGTTATCATTAGTTGGTCTTTCCGGAGCTTTCTTAGATTCTTTCTGGAGTAGAATCACAATAGTGACAGCTGTACAGGGCACTTATTTGATGGATTCATATAAGGCTTAACAAGGCAACGTGGTCCCGATTGCATAGAGGCAGTGATGATCTGGAAGCCGCCGGAGACTGAACCCAAGCCCTCCCCAGTCTTGACATTTAACAAGACGGCATCTCGACATGGAGTTCTATGTCAGTGCGCGGTGTGACATCCCGTTGTAGTCCTGATGTACTGCTGATGTAGCCATACTGTAACGATTCAGGTGGCCCCTGAGACGCTCCTTCCATTGTCCTCGGAAGAGACACTTCGAGACTACTCCAGCGCATGAGGGACAGATCATGGCCCATATACATCTGCAGGCTGTCAGATCAGACCCGTGGCACCGCCAGGGTAATGCGCCTAGTGCAGTATGGTCTCGTCGAGTCTGGTCTAGCATGGTACCGTGCTGAAGCACTGCCTGCCCTGCACAGCATTGCACAGCACCACACGGCATCCAAACGCATCCCAGCATCGCTCCTAGCCTGGCATCATTTGTAGAATATGAGGAGGTAACAAGGTTTTGGGGCTTTGGGTCGCGAGAACTATGACAATATATATATATATATATATATATTATACACATAAGCGTCCTGTCTCGTGCATACTCTGCATTGCTTCGATATATTGCTAGAGTCGAGTCGGCTCCCATCTTACGTTGGAGGGCGGTCCAGTCTCGTGAAGACTGGCCGGAAGGCTGCATGGCCACTGACTCCAAGACGAAGAAGAATGGCTTCGATCTGACGAAGAATCCCGGCGAGGAAAAGCGGACCGTTCTCGGCTTCATGGAGTCCCGCCCTCGGTGTGACGGGCATTACCTCATTGTTTTCGTAGATCTGTTCCATGGGTGATGCAGTTCTGTCTAGTGTCAATTTCTCTGCCTTGACAAAACGCGACGGGTGCCTTGAACAAGTCTCGTTGTGCGGCCAAGCCACTTTTTGAGGCGCCTTTTTGCCGGTATCGTCTGTGCGCATACTTTGCATCCTGAAGAGCTGTAGCGCAGAAGGCACAATTGATGGGAGGCCGATATTCTCACTCCACGGCACACACCCTGAAACGAGAAGCCTCCCCCGAAAGCGCAAAGAACTCTGTGTTCAGTCCTGTGTCGGTCTTTAATAGTCTTTCTATTTGCGTCGCTGTCTGATGGTCCGTCCCAGCTGAGGCGCTTGAAGGAAGCGAAGCCCGGCAGCAACGCTCCACAGCTGGGCATAGCCTACCACACGGCGATTATCCAGCAGGGCAACAAGTCCTTCCACCAGTCGACATTGACCGTCACTGCTAAAGACAAGGATGGAGTTCCTTATGCATGGAGTGGGCGCGAGTTCCTCGGCCCTTTGGTAAGCAAGAAGATGGAGGCAGAGCATGCAGCGGCCAGAGCATTCGTTGTGGACGCTGAAGTTCAGCGAACGGCCGCAAACCTGGGTCCCTCTTCCAAGCAAAGACATTCCCATCAGCGTATGAAGGAACGGATGCCGATCTTAAAAGTATTACGCCAAGCCAAGGATTCTCGGAGGTTTAATTAGTGTGAGCCTGTGACTAATTACGTGCACCATGCCAAAAAAGTCCGAGTTTTTGTGCAGTGTGCATGGTGACATCTGCCAGCCAGCCCCCGGAGACTAAACCCAAGCACCCCCCCCACGCCTTGACATGGACACGGGGTCTAGAGATGTCTAGAGGGTTTGTGCGAGGTCGTGTTGGGAGGCCTCACAGGCTGGATAAGGCGGCTGCAGGTTTCCTTGAGGCCTGGGTTCATGCACGCTTCATCCTGAATGAGCTCGCTTGACTGTGGATGGCGATGTCCTGCTTTAGCAAGCTCTCCGAGCTAAGCTCTCCTAGCTTTCTTATCTCCATGGCCAGCATCGTCAGGTTCCGATGTCCGTAACCATCTGGGAGGGCGAGGATTTTCCTTACATTCTGTATGGGATGTAGAGCAGAGGCCTATACAAGCGATGTAGTCCAACATACTGCTGCGGGCCGAAATCCTGCATTACCTTTTCAGTATCCTGAATGATGAGAAGTGAACCAAGCGAAATACGGTATACTTCCCGTTATGGGCAGCCCGAAAGCTTACATCCCAACGAACATCAGTGCACCTCTGGATGCATCCCCGAATGCAGGCCAGCCTCGGTGCTTTTCAGCTCGCTTCGGCTTTGTCGCGGTGCTGCTGACACCCCTTGGCCATGCTGTCTGTGAGCATCTTGACTGTTTGGTGGTGCTACGACTTAAGTGATATTCCTGGCTCTGTCAGTCTGCCTTGAACGTTATCCCACGAGCAGGATCTTAGGTGCAGGAGTTTCGCCTGCCACATGCCATCCTGCAGGACTCAAGCTCCAAAGTGGGTGCAAGCAAGGCTGATGATGCCCCGTCCTGGTACCTACGTTTGAGGGCCAGATGTGAGGGGAGAGCAAGGTAGGAATTGAAAACCTCTTGCGATTGGACTTGCTGTTGCCCTTTCCTTGTGCTTGTACCATCCGACAGCCGCAAGATTGCAACACACCAATAACCCTAAGACTTGCGGGGCCTAAACTGCAAATCCTGAACCCGAGACGTTATTTCCCAACGAACGTCAGGCAACATTTATGTTCTTGCCGATGCACACCGTCACATCAGAGGCGCGCCTCTCAGTGTTTTTCAGCTGGCCGCTTTGGTTTTCACACACTGCTGCTGACATGGTTTTGCTCTGCTATGCTGCCTGCGAGCATCTTGACTGTTTGGTGACGACGCACAGCAGCAGCTGAGAATCTACAGAGCTGCCGCGACCTATTGGGTATTCATGGCTCTTTCAGTGTGGTGCAGAGGGCTTCCAGGTACTTCGAGCGAGGCGAGGGCATGATTTTTGGAACTGGACCTCGGAGGGACAGGGGCGGGACGGGGGAACGGGGGTGGGGGCTTCAAGCGATTGGACCCGTTGCGTCCATGCCCAGGGGTGCTGTGCCCAGTTCGGGTCACGCACTCTCCAGGCAGCGTGTGACATGTTGAATCCACTGGCCGGTCATTTGGAGGCCCCCGTGGGAGGGCCGCAGGGGTTCCCACGGAGTGCTGCAGACAAGTTGAGGGAAAACGGGTGGAGTTTCCGATGCTGGCACGACGACTCTCGAACATAGACCAGGGGGCATCGGAGTTGCAACTTTTCCCAGCATCTTGGACATCCGCTGAAACTCAATTCAGTTCTTGGAGCAGCGGTTGGGGTCTTCGGAGACAACTTTGCTGGCCAATCCCTAGGGCCAAGAGTCCAGACGGCGGCCTGAATGCTTCAATGCAGCTTTTGATGTGAAGAGTGCTCGCTAGATGCTTTGCTGTGGGACTTGTCGCAACATGCTTCATGTGTGAAGAACATGAAGATCCTGAGGTCCACTATGCACATGTCATGCTCCATTTTGCCACTCGCATACCGAACCTCAGTCGCGAGCCCACCCTGCCTAAGGATCGGATCTGACATGACCATCTTCGATGCAGGAGGCTTCGTCTGCATGAGGTCACGCACCGTCAGGTTTTTCTCAGATGTCAGCCGTGGTTCGGGGGTTCTGTTCTGTCAAGTCATTCTGGGTCCGCGAGCGATCTGCTTCAGCTTCTCCAGTACCTTGGATCCAGGCCTCCGACTGCGCGGCCCTGCTGGCAGAGGCATGTCCCAGTGAGTTTCAGCTTGCCTCTGCAGGTTCTGATGGTGCATGCTGTCAGTCAGCGAGCACCTTGAGTGTTTCGCTGCGAGAAGCCAAAACAGTAGTCGTGACCTAGACTCTGCAGGACTGCCACTAGCTCTTTGTTATGCTATTGCTGTTGCTGTTGTTGTTGTTGCTGCTGCTGCTGCTTGTTTATGGTTGTTTCTTTTGTGCTTCTTGTTGTTGTGGGTGTGCACCGACTTAGGGTCCAGTCTTTCAGAACCCTTGGCAGCCCCCAGCCGCTTCATTATCACCGAAGCATCAACTGGTGACTAGTGCCTGGGATTTCGCGGTTCCTTGCCGGAACTGCAGCTCGTGTTTGAAATACATATATATATATATATATATATGTTCACGAGATACGGGTGTTCGGCCCTTACTATGCCATGATTGTCCTGGGAGCATTTTTGTTAGTCAATCCAGACATCTGCGTTATGGAGCTCTCCTTGCATGCTCAGTCTGATTCAAACTTGGAAGATAGCCTTAGGGTTGACTCCACCTAGGCAATCTGCAAAGGTTCCCGGCCAAGCATTCCAAAGTCTCTTGCACCTCCTTGGATGCTTAAAAAGATAAGCCCTGGATCCTTAAACAGACAACAGAAAGAGAAGAACGCCAGGCTTCCTACTCTGGCTGCGTGGAAGATTGCGACTGCGAGAAGGCCTGCGCAAAGCAAAAGGAACGATTGCAATGCCGCTCAGCGGCTGGAAAATATGGGAAGGTTGTTATAGTCAGGCCCCCGAGTTGCAAACGTTTCATGTTGATGGCAGTAAAACGATGTGTCAAAGATGCACTTACTTGTCATGGAGTCATGGACAATGACAGCCTGCATGGTCTGCAGTGGTTGAGTGGGGATTTCTAGCTTTACCCAACTTCCTGACTTTCTGCAGCGGCCGTTAGCAGCTTGCAGCTTGCTTTGTGCCACATGATTCTCCAAGACAGAAACATGCTGAGGAAACGGACTGTCCCGAAGATCTCCCCACACAGATGCCAGAGGTGTGTTCATGAGTGGAGCTATCTACTCGTAAGAGAAGCGGAGCAAATCAAGGGAGATCGAGCTTGGACATATTAGCAACGAAGAGTTTTCGTTCACAGCGAGCCATTTGCGTCCCGTTTCGACGTTGCCTGTCGCCTACTGCGGTTCTAGCACAAGCCCACAAACTGTGATATGCTTGTCCGACTCGCACTTGCTACTGTTTCTAAGGTCATGGAGGTGTTGCTCAAAGACACCAAAGGCAGCAATGGGCGAGAGCAAGAAGAATAGCACGCATGGCCATGCGGCTGGGGTTGGAAATGCCTTCAGGTGTGTCACCCGAGACTATCATCTCTATCAGAGCAGGCTCCACACGTCGCCAGGCACCTTCGAATAGTGGCTGATAGTGGCTGTCCATGCGGCTTGCTAGTGGTGAATCGATGTTTGCAGGTGCCAGTTTCTCTGGCAGACAAGCCATTGAAGCAACAGTCTCGGCTTTTGCGGCTCTGGTTCAGTGCAAGTGGCTGCATGTCTCAGCGACGAGGTTCCCATGTCCGCTGTCGGAGTGTGGTACCATCCAGGCAGATTGAGTGTGTTTTGATAAGACCATGCCACGCGCTCGATGGCACAGGTCGACTTCATGACTGTTGCAGCGTCGGCAAAGGCCTCTCTCCGACACGAAGGCACACTGAGCTGATCCGTTTCTAGTCGCACGAAGAGACTTGTGTTGGCTTCTTTTGCAGGCGAGCAGGATCTCCGACTGAAGATGGTCAAGAGCAGCTCTCCTGAGGAGGCTGCAGCAGTTCCTGTGGGCTTTGTGTGATCTTGGTGACCATGAAGCATCGTTCATTCGGTGTGCAAGTGTCTAGGCTGTGCGGGCTGAAGACGCAGAGGCAAGGAAGGGCTGCCTTGCATTGCTGTCAGATCGCTGGAGATTCAGGCAGTAGTTCTTGTGGGTAGGTCTCCTTGGTGGTGCGAAGCTCATCAGGCCGTGCGTTCTGTCCGTGTGCTTTGCATCTGCGATTGTTCGTGAGCCGGAGGAGAGGGAGCTTCAACAGTGGTGCCGGAGCCCACGCACTCGTATCGCAACCGGGGAAGTTGCCAGAGTGTCGAATGATCGAGGTCCGCAGAGGAAAGTGCTGCAAAGACGTGGGGTTTCACAAGTGCAACAAAGGAGTATCTTTCCAAGCATGGGGTGATGACCTCAGTGCCACCGGAGTGTAAGGGAAGCCATTCTCGAAGAGCCGAATCTGCGAGGTGCTCACCTTCATGCGGGATGTGCTGCAAGGCGTCATCCGAGACAGGCCGGGCCTCGTCGTATTACCGTATTCCTGGAGCTTCCTCAGAGCCGGTCGCGAGCTTTGTGACTGTCCGCAGCTGTTTCATGTGCTCAGCCAAAGACTGTGCAAGGGACTCAAGCCAGTTGCGATTTGTCGACGATGGCTCACTCGTCATGGCATGGCGCTGACCACCTCACTGCTCTGGGGAGACCGACAACAACCGTGAAAACGACAGGTCTCCCTACCTACTCCCCCCCCCCCCCCCCCCCGCGAGAGAACTGTAAAAATGACCGGTCCTCCTGCTTATACCTCCCCCCTCCCTCCCTCAAAACAATAGTTGCTCAAAAATCGAGGGGACCGTGTCGGTCTAGCCACAGTCAGATAGTGCCGCGTATGCTGAGGGACGGAGGCCAGGGCTGGTCAACCATCGAGCTGTCCACCAGGCGTAGGTACAAATATTCGACGCAGATCCCAGAGCTGGTGGTCGTAGTAAGTGCTTTCATCTGCTCCTGGATGGTATCGCTGTCCACAGGGAAACCATGGTTCCTTTCTTGAACATGGGCAGGACGGAGCCCCGACGTATCTTGTCAACTCTAGAGTACCACGACCCCTGA